CTATGAGAGATTAAATTTCTGTTGTTCTAGCCACAAGTCTACAGCAATTTGTTATGGCAATTTTAGAAAATGAACTCAAGTTTTATAATAGCTTACAGGTTTTATATTACTTTCCTAGAGCTACTAAAATAAATCACCACCAACAGAAATTTATTCTCTCACAGTTCTGCAGACGAGAAGTTGCAATGAAGGTATTGGCAGGGCCACATTCCCTGGAGGCCCTGGGGTGAATTGCTTCCATGCCTCTTCTAGCTTCTGGTGGCAGTCGGCATTCCTTGGTTTGTTGGGCTGCTGGCCATAGAAAACAGGCAATCTCTACCTGTCTTCACACCTCCTGCTCTGTGTGTGTCTCCTTTTCTGTGACTCTCAACTGCTAAGACCAATGCTGACTTTCCATGATGGAATGACCCAAATTCACCAACCTTCCACCAGGTCACTGAACACTTTGGGGAAATGGTGACATGTTGGGAGGTTCAGGAGGTCTCTGATGCTCACAGCTTGAACACTCAGCAGTGGCCACAGCCAGGTCAGCCTCGGCGAGTGGAAGTCCATGCATAACCTTCCTTCCTGTTCCTATGACCAGTTTGCTCATGAGCTCATTGGACAATGACAGGACTGGCTGGGAAAAGAAGCTGACTGGTATCTACAGAATGGGTCATCATATCAACTTGATTGATAAAATCCTTCTCTGTTGTTGCCTTTTGGTGAGTGTTCACTTGGGACAAAACTAGCATCGTGATTTTCCATTTCTTACCTTAGAAGCCCATCATTCACTCTCCATCTCTCCTCCAGTGTTCATCGCCCCTCTGCTCACCCTCCACTAGCTTCATATTCAGTACCCACCACTACCTCACTTTTCTGGTATTCATGAGTTAATGAGAAAGTCTCATATATAAAATTTCAAAACATGTAGAATTTAATCTTCTAATTGCAGGTTGAAATTTTATTCAAGTATAATTTACTCACTTTAATTTTCTTAAATGGAGTGTATATTATTTTTTAAAATAAGAAATAATTGAAGGGTGGAGGTATGGCTCAAGTGTTAGAGCACCTATCTAGCAAACATAAAGCCCTGAGTTGAAACCCCCAGTACTGCCAAGAAAGAAAAAAATTGAAATTTAGTCAGTTAAATTTATAGTCTTGCCCACTTAAACTGTACATACTTATTGGTGTATTTTTCTAAGTCCTTGCCCCAAAGTGTATGTAATTTTAAGTTGTTTTAAAACACTGTGTTCCTTTCTCTATCACTTAATAAAATACAGGCAATTTTTTTTGTCTTCAAAGTGATAGAAAGTTATTTCTCACTCACATAATAGTCCAATGTGTAGTCATGACACACGACTCTTGTTTATACACTGGAACAGGACCCAGATTCTTTCCATCTTGTGGCTTTCGTATCTCCTATTGTCACATGGTCACCTATATTGAGTCCATAGAAAGGGAAAGAAGCAGTGTAGAAAAGACACGTCTGATTACGGTATCCTCACCCTGGAAGGAACATTCATTGCCTTCTGTTCCTATTCCCACGCTAGTTTATCAGTGTCATCAAAAGACATGTGGTCACACTTCAGTGCCAGGTGAGCTAGAAAAGGAACAGCTGCTCTTCAGCTGTATATGATGGCAGGAGGAGAAGGAGAAGAATAATTTTGATGGCTGGCAACCACACCTGCCACTGCTATGCAATTTAAAAAATTTTCCTTTAAAATGGCCACATACAATTCCCTAAATTGGTACATCCCACTTTAACAGGTTCTTCATTATTAGACACTTATAAAAATTGTTTTAAAATTTTTATTTTTCGTGAATAGCACTGTAGGACTTACCCACATTTATATACCTTTCTCCATTTTATTTATTTATTTTTATCTAGTTTCTCAGTACTAGGATTGAATCCAGAGCCTCGCTTTTGCTAGGCAAATGTGCTACCACTGATCTACATCTCCAGGCCCTTTCCCCATTTTAAAGATTATTTCTTTAAGAATAATTCTGGCTGGCAGAGTGGCTCAAGTGGTAGAGTGCCTGTTTAGCAAGCTTGAGGCCCTGAGTTCAAACCCCAGTACCACACACACACACAAAAGAATAATTCTGAAAAATGGAGGACATAGAGAATTATGAACAAAAGTCATGAATTTTTTCAGATTCTTGACTCTCCAGACCTGACTTAAGTGAGGGAGATGGCTGAATCACATTCACTACTGCCTATTTTATGGTAGATACTCAATAAATGAGTTCAGCGACTACACACGTTTTAGCAAGAGTTATGGATAGTAATTTATTATGGCTCTGGATAGCAATACGAGTGTAAATACTGTCTTTGTATTTCCTGTCTCTACCAACGCCATCACTATCCATCAGGTTATGAAGGTAGAAAGCTGGGAGTTATTCTTGACTCCTTTCCTCATTGCTCCTGACCTAGTTACTGATTGCCGTTTATTAAATCACCACAAAACTTGGTGATTTAAAGCAGCGATATGAATGTATTGTCTCTCACAGTTTCTGTGGGACAGGAGATGTGTTGCTTTGGCTTAAAGGACTCTCAGGAGGTCATAGTCCTGTGTTGGCAGGGATTTTGTCATGAAGAATTGACAGGTCCTGGAGGATCTACCACAAGGTAGACCACTCATGTGGTTAGCAAGTGGGTGCTGGCAGTTGGTGTGAGGTCTTGGTTCCTATCCATAGGGTGCTCTACTCAGGGCTCCTTGAGTGTCTTCATGACATGAGTGGCCTATCCAAGAAAGAGCAATCCAAGAGAGCAAAAAAGAAGTGTCAATGACACACCTGGCCTCATCTTGGAAGTTACACACTGTCACTTCTACAGTATTATACTGACCACCCACGTCTGCACTATTCAGGACCACACAGAGGCCCCAATACCAGAAGTCAAGGATCACCAGGAGCCATTTTGGAGACTGGCTTCCATAGCTCCTGTCTTCCAAACTCCATTCCACTTGCATGTTCTGTCCATTCTCCTTCTAAAAGTATGTCTCAAACTGAAGAACTTCTGCTCATTTCTGTGGCCTCTATCCAAGTCTCAGACACTAGGAGCACTCAATTCTGACAGCCTGCAACCTGGTATTCTTCTTTTCCACTCTGGCCACTCTTCAATGTAATTTTCATATAGCAACTGTTTATTATTCATTTATTTTTTACATTAACTAATTCAGCAGATATTTGCTGTACAGTGATTACATGCCAGATTTGCTCTTGGTTCTTGGGACATAGCAGCAAAATAAACAAACCTTGGGACTTAAAGACAATCGGTAAATAAACAAGTTATACAGAAAATATTAAGTAATCATATGTGTGATACAGAAAGTTTTATCAGGATAAAGTAAATAGAAAATAGTGGGGAAGTTAGAGGCTGTGGGTACCACCTTCATGGAGTTCTCAAGGGTGCTCTCTCTCACACTGGAGCAGAAATCAAAGGACTTCAGGGGTCAGCTATGAGAACACCTCGGTAAGAGTGCTCTAAGCAAAGGAAAGAAAATGCAAAGGACTTGAGGCAGGATCATATCTGGTGTGTTCAAGGAGCAGCAAACCAGCTATAGTGGCTGGAGTAGAGGAAAGGAGATGGAGAATGGCTGAGGATAGGGGTCCGAGCATTTAGGGATCTGTAGACCATGATGAAGACTTTGACTTTCTTTACCCTGGGTTGGAAGGGGACAAAGAAAGCCATTGGAATGTTTTGGTGACATGATACAACTTACTTTTCAATAGGATATTGGGGCAGCTTTGCCTATGATTTTTGTATATTATAGTAAAACCCTTGAATGGATTCCCATTGTACTTAGAATACAGTTGAAGACCCTTAGCTATTATCATGACTATTATTATAATGGATGCTCCTTATTCCTATTACAGTGCTCTATTTCCTCCCTAATGTGTATGGAACACTAACTATTGTTATTACGTTTATTTGTTTATGCTGTGTGTCCTTCATTTGAGAATATGTACTCTGGAGGGTGTTGTGGCATGTGGATCTTTCCATAATAAATGATTCCAAGACTGTTTTGCTTTTGGAGTTCTTGTGTTATCATACTTGGTCCATGAGTAGCCTCTAGCAATGCTGGTGCAAAGACAACTTTGCTGTTGAGCAGGGTGACAGACTTTGACTTGACTTGTAGGCCACATCAGGACTCTTAAAATGAATTATGTGGAGAGAAGGGATCTTGCTAAAGTGCAGCCTTTTATTTGGTAGGTCTAGATGGGCCTGTGAGGGTCCATTTCTCCCATGCTTGCCAGCCACGCCCACCCTGCAGGTCCTGTGAGTCACGGGGGACTTGAGCGCCAGGTGTGGCAGAACATCGGCATTACCTTTGAAGCTTTCAAAGCTACTAATCCCTGGATCTCACCCCCGACGATTGAACCCAATTTAAAACAAAATATAGTAAGCCAAGCCAGTTTTGTAGCTATACAAAGAATCCCATGGATGGCCTCCAGATCTCTGCTTAGGGTAATTTCTCCAGGGTTCCCAGCACATGCTGTGACATAGCAGCAGAAGTAGAACTCCTACCTTCAGGAGAGTGGCTTCCTTGAGGAGCACATTTCAAACATATCTGAAGGTGAGGGCACAACCAGGTCCCTATGTGTGAGCTCATTCTGAGGCAGAGGATGGAGGGAAGCACCCTTTTTCATTTTTTCCTTATAATTTCAACAATGTTCATATGTACGTTTCTCAGTCAGGACCAAATTAAGAACTTATGTGGGTTCAGTGAAACCCTTGGTCATCAAAAGCAGATGTTTTACTGAAGATTAATGAGCCATATCTTATTTATGGGTCAATAATGGACTACTGGATGTGAGAACCCCAATGGTCTCAGGGCAGAACAGACAATGCCAGAGCTGCCTCTGCCCCACCTCCTCTAACCTAAAGTGCATCCACCCAGTTTCTTTGGCCAAGTGATTGATGATATGTTAACAGAATCAGAGTGTTTTCCTGTTGAAATGACTTCAATTCCAGGCAATTTGGATTAACTTTTTTTTTTTTCTGGATGGTTTAGATTGGGCGGCTGATTATTGGACAGAATGGCATTTTATCAACACCTGCAGTTTCCTGCATCATCAGGAAGATCAAGGCAGCTGGTGGCATCATCTTAACAGCTAGCCACTGTCCCGGAGGGCCAGGGGGAGAGTTTGGAGTGAAATTCAATGTTGCCAATGGAGGTATGTGGTTCAGGATAGTCCTTAATCATGATTTCTTTCCTCTTGTATTATCATAGTCTTCCAATAACACTCTGATAGTAGACAAGCAAGGCAGAATGGAAAGCTGACTCAGAAAAATCCAGTGAGGTGCCCACAGTGATGCAATAAGGAAGTTATGTAATGGGCTGTCAGAACCAGGGCTGTCAGAACCATTTGTTTGGTCTCTGGACTTTTCCACACAAGGAAATGATTAAATAGGTGATGCTTCTCTGATACACATCAGAACATGCCCTGAAGGTTGTTGAGATCTTTCTTCTCATACTATAGATGAATAGATTGAAGCCCTAGGAGACTGAATTACTACTGAAGGTCACACAGTTGCCCAGGGACAGACAAATGAGTTTTAGCCTAAATCCTGGGTTCTCACTTTTCAATAATATAGGCTTTCTCTCACTGAAATGCATAGACTTATTTCATTTGTTCTTATATATGTGTGTGTATATGCAAAAATTGATTCTATATAAAAGCAGGGAGAACAGTAAATGGATACCTTGTATCTGTATATCCATTACCCTGTTTTTCCGTTTTGTTAATCATTTTTTTCTGAAGAATTTTAAGGCAGAATTCAGCATGAAGACATTTTACACCTAAATATTTTTGTATGCATCTCTTAAAAAGACAGACATATTCCTGAATCACTACAGTAATATAACCATCAAAAATAATACTAATTCTCTAATATTATCTGAACCCTAATCTGTAGTCAGAGTTTCCCAGTGATCTACAAAATGTTATTTATGACTGTTTTAATTCAAATAAAGATGCATCTCAGAACCACGTATTTGTTTTCTAAGTCTTTTAAATCTCTTTTAATCTAGAATATTGAGTCGGCATGTTTATGTGAGTAGAAGCTGATTTTAACCAGCAACTGTTAACATTATGAGTTATTCCTGGCCCCAGGCAAAACCAGCATATTCTGAAGGGAGAGTTTATTATCTCTCACTCCTTATATCCATTTTGCATATAATCTAAACAATAAACTTTATTCTTGTTGAAAAAATATACTTCATAACTGTAAGGCAAAAACAAAACAAAACAAAACAAAAACTCTGCAGCAGATACACACATAAGGAAGAAATCAAAGCCTAGTACTACAGAAAATGACCAAACCACAAAAATAGATATGAAAAGAGGAAGGAAGGAACAAAGGGTCTAGGAAGCAATGAAAAAACTGCTAGGAGTAGTACCCTTGTATGTAAATGGATTAACATTGCCAATGAAAAGATATTAGAGTGCTTGAATGGACATAAAACAAGATCTAACTATATGCTGCCTACAAGAGACCTATGGAAGCATTAAGAACACAACTATGCTGGAAGTGAAGCGGTAGAAGCAGAAGCAAATAGTAACTGAAAGAAAGCAGGATGGCTATATTTAGATAAAATAGACTTCAATAGGGGTCAATTTATCATGAAGCCATAACATTTATAAATAAATATGTATATACACACACTCAACATTAGCATATCTAAATATATAAAGAAAATATTAATGAATAAGAAGGAAGAAGTAGTTACCAATACAATAATAGCAGAGGACTTCAATAACCCACTGTCAGAACTGGATAGACCAAACACAGAAACTGAATTCAGCAACACATCAAAAAGATTATTCACCACGACCAAGTAGGCTTCATCCCAGGGATGCAGGGGTGGTTCAACATACGAAAATCAATAAACGTAATAAACCACATTAACAGAAGCAAAGACAAAAACCACTTGATCATCTCAATAGATGCAGAAAAAGCCTTTGATAAGATCCAACATCATTTCATGATAAAAGCTCTAGGAAAACTAGGAATAGAAGGAAAGTTCCTCAACATTATAAAAGCTATATATGACAAACCTACAGCCAGCATTATACTTAACAGAGAAAAATTAAAACCATTCCCTCTAAAATCAGGAACCAGACAAGGATGCCCACTATCTCCACTCCTATTCAACATAGTACTGGAATTTCTAGCCAGAGCAATTAGGCAAGAAGAAGGAATAAAAGGAATACAAATAGGTAAAGAAACTGTCAAAATATCCCTATTTGCAGACGACATGATCCTATACCTTAAAGACCCAAAAAACTCTACTCAGAAGCTTCTAGACATCATCAATAGCTATAGCAAGGTAGCAGGATATAAAATCAACATAGAAAAATCATTGGCATTTCTATACACTAATAATGAACAAACTGAAAAAGAATATATGGAAACAATTCCATTTACAATAGCCTCAAAAAAAATCAAATACCTAGGTGTAAACCTAACAAAAGATGTGAAAGACCTCTACAAGGAAAACTATACACTTCTGAAGAAAGAGATTGAGGAAGACTATAGAAAGTGGAGAGATCTCCCATGCTCATGGATTGGTAGAATCAACATAGTAAAAATGTTGATACTCCCAAAAGTAATCTACATGTTTAATGCAATTCCCATCAAAATTCCAATGACATTCATTAAAGAGATTGAAAAATCTACTGTTAAATTTATATGGAAACACAAGAGGCCACGAATAGCCAAGGCAATACTCAGTCAAAAGAACAATGCAGGAGGTATCACAATACCTGACTTCAAACTATATTACAAAGCAATAACAATAAAAACAGCATGGTACTGGCACAAAAACAGACATGAAGACCAGTGGAACAGAATAGAGGATCCAGATATGAAGCCACACAACTATAAGCAACTTATCTTTGACAAAGGAGCTAAAAATATACGATGGAGAAATAGCAGCCTCTTCAACAAAAACTGCTGGGAAAACTGGTTAGCAGTCTGCAAAAAACTGAAACTAGATCCATGTATATCACCCTATACCAAGATTAACTCAAAATGGATCAAGGATCTTAATATCAGACCCCAAACTCTTAAGTTGATACAAGAAAGAGTAGGAAATACTCTGGAGTTAGTAGGTATAGGTAAGAACTTTCTCAATGAAACCCCAGCAGCACAGCAACTAAAAGATAGCATAGATAAATGGGACCTCATAAAACTAAAAAGCTTCTGTTCATCAAAAGAAATGGTCTCTAAACTGAAGAGAACACCCACAGAGTGGGAGAAAATATTTGCCAACTATACATCAGACAAAGGACTGATAACCAGAATATACAGGGAACTTAAAAAACTAAATTCTCCCAAAACTAATGAACCAATAAAGAAATGGGCAGTGAACTAAACAGAACTTTCTCAAAAGAAGAAATTCAAATGGCCAAAAACACATGAAAAAATGCTCACCATCTCTAGCAATAAAGGAAATGCAAATTAAAACCACGCTAAGATTCCACCTCACCCCTGTTAGAATAGCCATCATCAGCAACACCACCCAACAGGTGTTGGCGAGGATGCGGGGAAAAAGGAACCCTCTTACACTGTTGGTGGGAATGTAGACTAGTACAACCACTCTGGAAAAAAATTTGGAGGCTACTTAAAAAGCTGGACATCGATCTACCATTTGATCCAGCAATACCACTCTTGGGGATATCCCAAAAGACTGTTACTCCAGAGGCACCTGCACACCCATGTTTATTGCGGCACTATTCACAATAGCCAAGTTATGGAAACAGCCAAGATGCCCACCACTGACGAATGGATTAAGAAAATGTGGTATCTATACACAATGGAATTTTATGCAGCCATGAAGAAGAACGAAATGTTATCATTCGCTGGTAAATGGATGGAATTGGAGAACATCATTCTGAGTGAGGTTAGCCTGGCTCAAAAACCAAAAATCGTATGTTCTCCCTCATATGTGGACATTAGATCAAGGGCAAACACAACAAGGGGATTGGACTATGAGCACATGATAAAAGCGAGAGCACACAAGGGAGGGGTGAGGATAGGTAAGACACCTAAAAAACTAGCTAGCATTTGTTGCCCTTAACGCAGAGAAACTAAAGCAGATACCTCAAAGCAACTGAGGCCAATAGGAAAAGGGGAACAGGTACTAGAGAAAAGGTTAGATCAAAAAGAATTAACCTAGAAGGTAACACCCACGCACAGGAAATCAATGTGAGTCAATGCCCTGTATAGCTATCCTTATCTCAACCAGCAAAAACTCTTGTTCCTTCCTATTATTGCTTATACTCTCTCTACAACAAGATTAGAAATAAGGGCAAAATAGTTTCTGCTGGGTATTGGGGGGAGAGAGGGAGGGGGCGGAGTGGGTGGTAAGGGAGGGGGTGGGGCAGTTTGGAGAAATGAACCAATCCTTGTATGCACATATGAATAATAAAAGAAAAATGAAAAAAAAAAACCACAACCAAAAAAAAAAATAGAAAATTTACAAGAAAATGTGGGACTCAAACTGCACTTTAGACCAAATGGACCTTATAGACATATATAGAACTTCTAACAACAGCAGAATACATATTCTTCTCCAGCACACATGGAACATTCATTAGGCTAGACCACATGTTAGGTAACAAAACAAATCTTAATAAGTTCAAGAATCATGAAATATTACCTCACACCCATTAGGATGGTTATTATTTTAAAAAATAAAAGATAAATGTTTGTGAGGGTAAGGAGAAAAGGGGATCCTAGTACACTGTTGGTGAGAATGTAGATTGGCATAGCCATTATGGAAAACCATAGGGAGGATCCTAAAGAAATAAAAAATGAAACTACCACATGACTGAGCCATCTCTCTTTTGGGTATAAAACCAAAGATGATGAGCTCACTATGTCATACATATAACTGTATTCCTATGTTCATTGGAGCACTGCCTACAATAACAAAGACATATAAATAACTTAAGTGTCTGTCAACAAATGAATGGGTAAAGAAAATGTTACACACGCACACATATATTTAATGAAATATTGTTCAGCCTTAAAAAGGAAGGAGATCTGCCATTTGCTACAATATGGTTGGAATCAGAGGACATTAAATTAAGTGAAACAAGCCAAACACAAGGAAAAGTAGTGCATGGTTTCACCTGTATGTGGAATCTTAAAAAAAAGTTAAATTTACAGAGATAGAGAATAAAACAGAGGTTATCATGAGTGTGGGCACAGAGGAGCACACAGGTCAAAGGATACAAAGTACTGAATGTGTGGGATGAACAAATAGAGATCTAATGTACATGAAGACTAAAGTTAATAAAATTATATTAAGGATTTTTGTTCAATAACTAGATTTTAACTGTTTTTGTGACAAAAAAGTACCAGTGTGATGGTAGATATATTAATCTGATTCATAATAGTAATCATTTTATTCCTATATATATATCTAATGACATCATGTAGGAAACCTCAAATATACATGATTAAACTTGTTTATAAAAAACAAACACCAACAAAAAGACATGGTATAAGTGCCCCATCTTTGAAAGCCAGCTCAGAGCAGTGTTACTTTGCTAACAAAACACACATGGAACCCACATTAGTCTTGGAGCTGCTACCAAACATGTCAGAAGTATGCAGTTTTCAAGTATTTCATACACTCATAACATTGGAAAATGAACAGCCTCAGAAAATGGTAATTTGTAGAGAAATGTAATATATAAGTTGCCAAATTAAATAATGAGTTTCAAATAGGCATTTGAAATTAATATCTGATTTTATGTCTTACAAGGACCAGTTGGTCATCTTTATGATTGTGAGGCATAAGTGAGGAAGGTATGATTTGTGTATTAGTCTATTTTCTGTTGCTATAGCAAAATACCCAAGACTAGAAAATGTATAAAGAAAAGAGGTTTATTTAGCTCACGGTTTTTGAAACTGAAAGTGGAAACCAAGAGGCCCCATCTCTTTAGCCTCTGGTGATGTCCTTTCTGGCTACATTATAAGGTAGTAGATAACATTACAGTGAAGTGTGGGCAAGAGGAAGAGAGTAGTCAGATGGTAAGGCAGGAAGCCAGAGATAATTTGGGGACTGGGATTGCTCTTTTTGTAACTGGATCCCTTAGGAACTAAGCACCGTCCCACAAGAACCATTATTAGTCTCTTTGGAGGCTGGTGCCCACTCTTCTAACTCTTCCATTAGCTTACAATTTTCACCAGATCAACACTGCCATCCTGGGGACCAAGCTTCTAGCACAAGTACTTTTGGAGGACACATTCAAACCATATCCAAACCCAAGCAATTTATAGACCCATTTGTAGACTCAATCCCAGGAGGTGTGAGTGCTCAGTCACACCTTGAGTGGGAAGGCATAGATTGGACTTAGCACTCAGTGCTTCCCTCTGATGAAAATCCTTCCATGCCCAGCGACTCATGCACCATCCCTTCTGAGTCTCCTAACAAACTGACAAGACAACTGAAGAGTCAACACTGGGAGAAGTTTAACCAGTATCTCCAATTATTAGTCTGTGGAGCTAATTCACAACTTAGATTAGAGGAAAGGGGCAGAATTTCTCATGAGGGCAAACATGGGTGAGATATAGAAAGGAAGTTTACCTATATTGGTTCCAAAAAAGTATGAAGACAAGTTCCTTGCCAAGATAATGGGCCAAGAACAAAGAAGGAATTTTGGGTAAATGGAGATGCTTAGTAAAAGGCATTGCTAGGAAATTCATCGAAGAGTCTTGCGAAGTTGTGAGGATCAAGGTAAGCACCCTCATTCTTAGGAGAATCCAGAGGCTGTAATTTCATGACTTCCCCCATTAGTGCCTGGGAGTCTGGGAATGGTAGCAGTGGAACACATGACAGAGATGTCCTGAGACTGAGACATGGCAGTACAGACACGGCAGAGTATCAAGAGGACTTGTAGTTGTGAGGAGTGTCCAAACTGACATCACACTGCTAGGATGCAAAGGCAGCCTCTAAGGAGTGAACTTGGGTAAAGCATATAATCTTTTCCAATTCAGTTTCTCCATTTGGAAAATGACGGGAATAGTTTTTCACCTGCTTTTTTGAGTGCTAAATTCCATATAAAGTGTAAAATGTATTGCATGAAAGTTTCCATGAATGTTGGTTTGGGTTATTGTATGAATGAAGGAAAGACTCAAATGGTGGACCACGGAGTCATATCTGGGACAAGAAACCAATCAAAGTAGAATGGGCTGATAGTGTGGGATCAATCAAATAATGGCAAGTCTCAGTACAGGAATGAGGGAGAGGGCTCAGAATCAGGTAAATGGGTAATAAAAAAATTTGTGGGAGTTGGTGGCTTAAGTGGTAGAGCAACTGCTTAGCAAGCATGAGGCCCTGAGTTCAAACCCCAGTATGGCCAATTGAAAAAATAGAATTTGTAGGTTGGAAAGGTTCAAATTGCTATCTCCAAGAGTATTTCAAGAGAACAGTAATAGTTTTGACTGTGCTAGGAGTGATTACAGTAAAATGAAGAGGAAGGTCATTGGAATGGAAGAAGTGAAGAAAGTTGGAAGTTGCCAAGGAATTCAGAAGTTGCTGATCTACTCTGAGGCTTTCAACATGGATGGTTGAGAGGTGTCATGGACAATTATGTAGCCTGCTGGAACTTGCTTTACCTTTGGAAACCAGTGTGCTTTTGATTAAAAGTCAGACTTCTTAATAACGATAGATACAGCCAGAGAACAGTATGGTACCTGGGGCACAGTCATGCATTCTGTAATCTGGCACGCATAAAAAAATGCAAAAACCTAAGCAAGACCACTTAATTTTTATGTTTTATCAAGGGTAAAAACGGTAAGGAGTACAGGAGAAGGGTTATGTTTATTTCTTTGAGGTTTTCACTTTTTAAATAATTATTGATGAAACCTACAGGGCTGTCTTCTCTCCCACCTACTGGAATGGGCCTTTCGCCATTCTTGTTTGTATTTGTTGGAAGGCAGTGAGATCTTGGGTAGCATTGTCCAGTAGAAATGTATTGTGAGCACATATATCATTTAAAAATTTTATAATAGCCACATTAAAAAAGGGCTGGTAGAGTAACTCAAGGTGTAGGCCCTGAGTTCAAACCCCAGTACCTCCCCCCACACAAAATATATATATAGAAAGGAATGTTAATAATATATTTTATTTAATGTACTATGTCAAAATATCATCATTTCAACATGCTGTCAATGTAAACATGATTAATACAATCTATTACGTTTTGTAAACTAACTCTCCAAAATTTGATGTGCACTTTAGAATTGTAGCACCTCTCAATTTGACTGGCTACATTTCAAATACTCAGCAGCCAAATGTGGCTGGTGACTATTCCATTGGATAGGAGTTAGGTAGCTCTAAGGACTGGGATATAAAACAAATCAAGAAATAATTTCTATTTGGTAGAAAGTTACTGTATCATTGGCAAGTAAGTTTCAAACACAAAACTACCTGTCAGTCTCTCTTTCATATTTTAAATCTTTTAGTTTACTTATTTATTTGGTTCTCACTTTCTTGTAAAAAAAGTGGCACATTAAGCCGGGCGCCGGTGGCTCATGCCTGTAATCCTAGCTACTCAGGAGGCAGAGATCAGAAGATCATGGTTCAAAGCCATCCCAGGCAAATAGTTCTGAAAACCCTATCTCAAAAAACCCTTTACAAAAATAGGGCTGGTGGAGTGGCTCAAGGTGAAGGCCCTGAATTCAAGCCCCAGTGCTTAAAAAAAAAAAAAAAGATACACACATTAAAAAGAGGAGAAACCAAGAGAACAAGTCTTGAGTTCATGTTCAATTCACTTAAAGGTCTATCATTCCTTAATTTTCAACTTGGCCTTCTGAGGAAATGCATTGGATTTTTTTTTTTTTTAGTTCACCTTCATTCTAAAACCTAAGGAGTAACTAGAGATTGAAAATTGGGGAAATTAATTATTTTACCTGGTTAAGCTCACGCAGCAGCTCAGCAGCAAATCTGGGAGGTTATACTTTCTTTCTCTTGGTGCACTCAGGAAGCTGTGGTTTAAGTCTGGAATCCCTCACTTCTGTCAAGTGCATATTCTGAATAAAGCTAATTGCAGAACCGGGTCTCCCTAGCAGGTGTGAAGCTATTTTTAGGAGAGATGTGTCATTGCCTAAAACAAACAAACATGTGGGTTATTAGTCTGCACAGAACAGGTGAGGCTGACCAAATTTCCTCCATAGTGGATGAATATAGCATAAGAAACACTTGACTCATGATTGAACCATGAGTCATTGTTCATTGTTTAGAGAAAAAAATTATTTTTCCCCCTTCCTGGTGGAACAGGATATAACAACTCTTAAACTGAAATTTTGGGGTGTTCCAATTTTAGGTCCTGCACCAGACATTGTCTCAGAAAAAATCTATCAGATCAGCAAAACAATTGAGGAATATGCTATATGTCCTGATCTTCGAATTGATTTATCCCGACTAGGAAGACAAGAATTTGACCTGGAGAACAAATTCAAGCCATTCAGAGGTAACAGATTACACATATTTGGAAGATGTAAGAAAAACTCTGTGGATGGGGGTGTCTTCCCAGGAGACCAGGTGTGCATGGGGTTGTCCTGCTTGGTGACAATCTGTGGGTTCTGCAGGGGAGTGGACTTAGGAAAGTTAGTAAATTATCAATATGAAGGGTGACTCTAGATAAATATTTGGAAACTGTGGTACAGAGAGGACGAGAGCAGCTGAGATACTCTGAACTGAACGCTGTTAAAACACCACTTACCAAATTCTAGCTCATTTTCAACCTAGGAAAAGTTTGAAAGTTGATTCCATTATGGCACTCCTGGAATAGATTGTGCATTGCCAGAGGTCATCTTGGGATTTCTAAGCAATTTAAGTGAAGATGCTGGAATACCTTAGATAATTGAGAAGAGAGCTCACATGTCAGTGGGAGGTTGGAGTTTCTTCTCCAAGTTAGAACCAAACAGTTCAGCTTAATTTTATGCACAATGATTGCTCACCTACTGTATATGAAGCACTGTGTGAGGAGATTTTACAAAGGAATTCAATAGCTGCCAAATGTATTAGGAAAGTGGTTCAAGAATTGATGAGCCAAGCGTGGTGGCACACACATGTGAGCCAAGCGTGGTGGCACACACATGTAATCCCAGCTGTCAGGAGGCTGAGGCAGGAAGATTAACAGTTGAGGCCAGTCTGGGTAATATACTATGACCCTGCCTCAAAAAAACAAAACAACACAAAACCTCAAAAAAACAAACAAAACAAAAAGCCAGAATGAATTTGACATATAATATTTTCTGTTGTAGAGTGAATAAAGCTTCTGAAGCATGAAGAACATGATTTATTGCCTTATGATCGATTCTGACCCGTGTTACATTAATATATCCCACATGCACTCATCATTTCCCCCAGTTTTCTTCTGCTGCTTTTTCCTAAAAGGCATGAAGTAGCAAGAGAACTAAAATCGAATGCAGTTTGTGTTAAGATGGTATCTTTATTACAGGGAACTTAACTTTAAAAAGTTAAATGCCTGACTTGTGGCCACGTGTTATTTTAGAGACAGAAAAGCTTAAAATGGACTGTAGCTTTCACAATGCTGGTGACTGATACCGAGTCTTTCTTCAAGAGTTTCCCATCCGTCGCTTGCTCAGTTAGTGAGCAGGCATTTATTGAAAGCCACATGATGCTGTTGGAAGTAACAGTGTCCGCTTTGATTAATCAAGTTGTGAGCACACACGTGCACATGTTTGCACACACACGGAAGGCAAGGGATTTGTCATATTAGACAAAATAGCTTCAATCTGCTTGACTACACATGTTTGGAACGACTGGGCTGTAAGTTGACTGAGAAACATCAGGCATTACCAGCGTGGTGATGTTATCTATTTGATTTATTTTTGATATCTTCACAAGTTTTAGAGTTGTCCAAGAGACCTACAGCTTTGGTGAGCTCAGTTGCTGGCTCTTTACTGTACCACATTGCTAGTTGGATGGCTTTTCTAAAATGCTGTTGAAACCAGGAGGTGGGTGAAAGGATTTCCTGGCTCCCAAGAAGAATTTGGAGATAATCATTTGAGCTAATTTATGTGCTGTGCTCTTGCTCTTTTGAGTGTTGAGCAAGGCTTGACTTAACTAGAAACCAGACAGTCCTTGGTGTTTCACCTTAAATTGTCAACAGCCTGAACTATTTGATGTAAACTTTGAATTTTCATGAACTTTTGCTTCCTCCTTTTCACATTTCTGTTTGGCATTGTGTGTTATCTGTTGTAAACATCAAATGTCTGATTTAAGAATTGAAGAACCAGAATGAAATTGCCAAAAATATTATTCTATATGACGGAATGAGTAAAGCTTCTAAAGTATTCAGGGCATAAGGTTTTATTTTATAGATTCACTTTTATTGTGGTAAATGATACATAAAGTAAATTTTACATAGCACAAAATTAGCCATATTGTTCATATGGATTAACTTCTAATTATTATCTGGATTAATATCCTCCTCATTTCAAAAGATAATTTAAAACAGACAATGCTCCTTAAAAAGTAATTATATTAAATGTCAATGGATAGGTATATAGATTGAAGTGTAAAGAAAAGTATTTTGAGATGTGGATTTCACCAGATGAAATGATAATTCCCCATCACATATTAAAATATTATTTATTAAATATTATAACTGGATTACTGAAAACTGTTATAATTATTATTCTTTATGTGTGTGTTCTTGCAATGCTGAGGATTAAACCCAGGGCCTTGCATAAACTAAGCAAGTGCTGTACCTCTGAGTTAGATCCGCAGCCCTGGATGTACTGTGTACCAAAAATTATTGAAGGGTGATTAGTAATATCTTCTGTGTAGGTTTAAATATTTCAGGACTCCTAAGCAGTATGTAGTTGAAAAATACGAAAAGCAATGGACATAAATTTTAAAATTTAACTGTGAATTTCAAAAGCAAGGCTCCTGGACAAAATTTTAGTTCCTATTGAGTGAAATATTTACTACTTCTGGGAAAAGTATTTTCTGATTATTAATTATGTGTTGATTGTCAAATTTGAAAAATGTGGTATATCCTGGATTTTTCCTATGTCATATGAGTGGAAAAGACTTCTTTTAAATTTTTGATCATTGGGTGGTGCTGGCCAGTGGTGAGCATTACAGGGATTACAAGGATTATAATCCTTATAATGTGTGATTATAAGGATTTTCAAATATTTGGCATTTAGTTAGGAATTGGTTACTAGAGATTTCATGAAAACTCAGGAATATAGCTTCATCTTAAAGTCTGCACTTGGATCTGGTGGGCACAATGGCATTTGGAAAATAGGGGTCACTACTGAGGTCATCCCTTTATTTATTTCACACCAGCTGAGTCATTCTTTGGCCAACCCCCACAGGAAAGTTAACTGGATATGCCAAGAAGCCTGTTAGCTGATATGGGTGCATTTAGGGAAAGATAGGTGGCAGAAAGAAGGGGGGTGGGGAGGACAGGGGTGACAGCACATTTTTACCTTAAATTATTCTCATGGTTAATTTTTCACTTGCAAAAAATTTATGATGTTATTACTTGTACCCATTGAACGTCTGAAAAGTTTGTAGCATCTTGGTTGTGCCTTGTCTTGTGACTTTGTCTGCAAGTGGACACCCTTCAGGTGAAGTGTGGGGTTATGATGGGATTGTGATTGGATTTCAGGCGACAATGGAGTTTTCATGCTTCCAAGTCTCTTTCCTGGGTGTGGTCATTGACATTTCCCTTTGTTTTGCTGTTGTCAGTGGAGATCGTGGACCCCGTGGATATCTATCTCAACCTGCTTCGGACCATCTTTGACTTCAGTGCAATCAAAGGCTTGCTGACTGGGCCCAGCCAGCTGAAGATCCGCGTTGACGCAATGCATGGAGGTGAGGTCACGGTGGGGAAGACCTCACGGAGGCTGCCGCATGTGGGGCCTATGAGATTAGAGGAAGGGTGGATGCAGAGGAACTCACACAACTTGTATGCGTTGAATATTTGGAACGCTCAGAAAGCTTTAGGACCCTATTTTTTTTCTCAGGGTAAAGGAAAACAAAAGTTTAACAAAGGAATTTGAGGTTATGCCTGTAAGTGTGCGGAGTGGGTTCAGATGGTTTATTTATTTAGGCGTGTATGTACGTCTTTATTTATTTATTTTGGCAGTACTGGGGTTTGAACTCAGGGCTTTATGCGTGTTAGGCAGCTCTCTACCACTTAATCATGCCCCCCATTTACTTATTTTTAATCATACTACATGCCATAATTTAAATAGCCAACTAGTTCAGAGTTTATTATGAAAAAAAAATCTACCCCCACTCCTTTCTTCCCTCAATTTCCTACTGTCCAGAGTCAATCTTTTTCAGCTCTTTTAGCATTTATCTCCTATCTTTAAATACTGTGAATATCCAGCTCCTTATTATTTTCTGGAGTCGACTATTACTGACTTTACACTCTGAAAACTTCCCTTTCTGGATCTGTGTATCAAGCTCATCCCCCTCTGCTCAGGCCCTGGCAAGCACTCATCTGCTTTCTGCCCCCATAGTTTCACCGGTCCCAGAATTCCACACAACCATAAGCATAAAATGTGGCGCCTTTTGCTTCTGGTTTCTTTCACTGAGCACAATGCTTTTGAGCTACATGTGTGGTGTTGCATGTGTCTTTCAGTAGTTGTTCTTAGTCCTGCTGAATAGTATTCCGTTCTGCTGATGTACCACAGTTTCTTGATGGAAATTAGATCCCCCCCTCTCGGGTTTCCAGTTGTCTTGGGTAAATAGGGAGGAGTGAGACTGCTGAGTCAGATGATAAGTAGATATTCACTATGTTCTCCAAAGCAGCTGCCACATTAGCACCCACACTGGGTGAGGGTTTCTCTGCATCTCCACCAACACTTAGCATTGTCAGCCTTTTCAACTTCAGCCGTTCTGTTTGACCTTGCTCATCTCTGCTAGGATATTACTGATATAATTAAAAGTTGTCTTCTCCCTATAGAAGTTCTGTTTCCTGTAAGTTTCTCTTTACTCTTTGTTTCAGACTCATGCTAAGTGCATTCTTCAAAATTCTGTTGATCCTTGGCTTCTCTTAAACCTGGCATGTTTAAGAGGGAGGCAATAAAACTGTACTGGCAGCTCTGAGCCCACTGTGGGTCTTACTCTCCTTAGACTTTCCACTAAGGGCTTTTGCTGGGCTTTTTCATTCCTTCCTGTTGGGCTTATCATACTCCCCAGGAAAAGCTCTTTTAGTTTTTTGCCTTAGTACTATCCGGCCTGGAAAAGACAGCTCCTCTTTCCAGACAATTTGAACATTATTTCTGAGGTTGTGCCTCACTGCCTAGCCGGTATTAAATGTACATCATATACATCTCTGAATCAGTCACTCTGGCTGGGGGTCAGAGGACACTGACTGGACAGACCCAGGCTACCTCCTCAGCCTTGGGGACAATGGGATTTATCTCATACCAACTGAGATAAGGGAAGATTTGATTTCCCACATGAAACCCAAAATGCTGCTACTACAGGAAGGGAAGTGGGAGCTAGGCAGAAAAAACTCAAGAGATATTCACTTTTTGAGGACTCTGTTGTGTTGATGGAAGATAAATGAAAGCAATACTTCATATACATTTCAGCAAACATGATTACATAGCAATCCCCTACTGTGCCCTATGTGCTATCTCAGGCTTTGTTTCTTTGTTCATAATGTCTTCCAATTGGTTGGCCTCCCCACCCCTATCAAATTTAAATTCTTCCTTTAAGTCCTCCCAGAAATGCTGTTTCCTCTGGGAAGCCTTACTTGTGGTGATTGCTTCTCCCATGCCATTGGTTCTAATTAGTTCATAACTGGACTTTGACTGGCTCCTCTTTTAGTCTTACCACTCCAGTCACTCAGTGCAGATTTCACCCATCCCACTACTTAATGTAGGACCCAGAAGGGTATAAGTTGTGTGGTTTGCATCTCTTTGATATGATTCCTTCAGCTCCTAAGACAGAAGTTCCACATTAGGCATTGCATTCCACAGGACTGGAAAATTCTGTTGCTTAGTATTTGTCTTGCAAAATGTGCTTGGTTTTCTGTGAGGCTTCAGGGGTTTACAGTGTTTAATTATACACTTGGCAACATTCAAATGATTGCACAAAGAGCATTGCTAGAGTCTGCTAGAGACTTTGCATATATTCAACTAAAGCATTTAATACATGAAAATCAGCAGATTACAATCATTAGTCCACACCTGATTTCTTTAAGGCAGTATTTTTAGAAAACTTTGGGGAGGAAAATTTCATCTAACTGGATAATTGAATACATCTTCTATATGCCTAACACAGTTACTTACACAAAGCAGATGCTCGGTGGACAGTAATCAGCGTGAATGTTTTATGTCTTGTCTTGAAAAAGCCTATAGAACTTATCTTTTTCTTCTGTGCTGTTAAGTAGCCTTTCATGTTCTAACCAGAACAAAATACCCTGGGGAGAGGATTCTGCAAATATTTCACATCATTGTATGTCTTTTTCGTTTAGTTATGGGACCTTACGTGAGAAAAGTTCTGTGTGACGAGCTGGGGGCCCCAGCCAATTCTGCAATAAACTGTGTCCCACTAGAAGACTTTGGAGGACAGCACCCTGACCCAAATCTGACATACGCAACCACCCTTCTGGAAGCTATGAAAGGAGGAGAATATGGATTTGGAGCTGCATTTGATGCCGATGGGGTAAGTAGGACAATTTTCTGTCTCTGACCCTGTTACCGTGTAAGCACTGGAGACCAGAGAAGTAATAAGCACATCTGAAGCTGACATGCGTGGGGCATGTGCGTCCACCTGGCTCTGCTTTAATGCTAAATATTGCAGTTAAATAGCCGTTACTTTTCTTAACTTCTCATTAACATGTGGTAAAAGAAGGGTTTTTTTTAAAGGAATATTCATGCAATAACTCTTTATTTATAGCTGGTTTTGTTGAAAATACCTGATTAAGGAGCCAGCTATTGTGCCTGTCACTGCTATTCTCCATTCCGTTTGGCGGAAGAGGGAATTAAGTTTTGGAGGCCACCAAAGCATGCAGTAGTCATCCATTTCAACAGGTGGAACGTGTTCCTAGTAGTGTTGAGATTTTGAGTCCTTGACATTCAGGGAGTTCTGAGATTTCCCATGCTCTCTTTGGCCTCATTCAAATAGTTTTAGGTTGTGTAAATGGCAGAAAAGTGGCTTGCTTGTGATCCTTATGGGAATGGGCCGTTAGCAGCAGAGGCTTCTGTCTGATTGTTTTCACACATTCCTTCCCACAGGACCGTTATATGATCCTAGGCCAAAATGGCTTCTTTGTGAGTCCTTCTGATTCCCTGGCCATCATTGCTGCCAACCTCTCCTGCATTCCTTATTTCCGTCAGATGGGGGTTCGAGGGTTTGGAAGAAGTATGCCCACCAGCACAGCCCTGGACAGGTAAGCAAGGATGTCACCGTGGAATGCTTTGTGGTAGACCTGTGATGTCAATGTCCCCTTTGCTGGTAGCTGACACTCATTCTTCCCTGTTCCACTGGGAGCTGGTTGAAAGCATGAGGCCTGGGGACTTGGAGACATGGTATGGTGCACTGGGTAATAGCACTGAGTTAGGAGGCCTGAGCTGGATTCTTGTTTCTTGTTTGATCTCCATGTTTTATTTTTTTTAATCTGTAAGTTGAGGGTAATAACAGTATTAACTTACAGGGATCATTATGAGGTGTGAATGAAGTGACTCAGGTGAAACATTTAACAGAGTACCTGGTACACAGTAAACACTTCACCAATGCTCAGAAGTAGAACTTACTAAACCTGAAACTATATATTAGTGAAGGGAAAAGAGCATGGAGTTTGAGGTCAGATCATGCATTTATGTACAAAATTAGCTTGTATTCTTATTCGCCAAGCTACTTTCCAAGTTTGTTGTGAGAATGAGATGAGAGAGAGCATGAACAGTGCCCAACAGGAGATCACTTTGTAAGGGTGCAGTGTTAGGTTCTTTCTCCTTGCCCTACCCAACCCTGCCATCTTTTACCTCATGGGGTGAACAGTGAATTTCAGTCTGATGACTGTCTGTCAGTTGTTCGGTCTATCTGTCTGTTTATCTATCTAGCTAATATTTTTAAGCTCTGGGTTTGAACCCAGGGCCTCAAAGTGCTAGGGATCAAACCCAGGACGAGGCAAGCAGTCCACTGCTGGGCTGCATCCCCAGCCCTAAGTCTAATATTTTTAATCTGTTTTGTTTTTTGTGGTGCTGGGATCAAACCCATGCCTTGTGCATGCTAGATAGGTACTCTCCCACTGAGCTGCACCCCCAGCTCTGAGGCTAATATTTTTGAACAATTTGTATGATTATAGGAGCAGGACATGAGCATGGCAGAAAATTAGAAAACAGAATCAAGTACGATAATGTAAATATCATGTCCCGAGTTACTTATGTTAGGTAAATTTACATTCTTTACCAGATCTCTTTCTCTATGAATAAATTGTACACATGAATTAACTTCATGATATAATATACATATATTTTATATAATACAAAAAAGAGATCAGGAACTGTATACCAAAGGTGGAGTGCTTGTTGTAGGATGGCCGTATATTCAGTTTTACAATAAACTGCCAAACTGTTTTCCATGTTACACTTATTTGCAATGTACATGAGTTCCAGTTGCCTCATCTCCTCATCATTTGGTAGGGCCAGGCTTTTTAATTTTAGCCATTCTAGAGAGTACAAAACATCATCTCATCGTGGCTTAGACCTGCAGCATCCCAGTGACCAGGGTTTCATGTTGGCCGTTTATATTACTTCCTGTGCTATACATCCATTCGAAATGCACTTGCTCAGTTTTAAATTGGACTCATTGCCTTGTTATTGATTTGTAGGGGTTGTTTATATTTTCTGTTTCAGTTATTTGTCCTATGTGGTATTGCAAATATTTTCCTTGCCTGTTTGCCTGCTTTTAATTTTCAGACTAGTGTCTTTTGATTGGGCAGACATTTTAAATTTTGATGAAGTCCAGTCTATTAGTTTTTTCTAATCATTAATTCATTATATTATTTTGTATATGCTTTTGTTATCTCTAAGAAATATTTTCTTTCTCCAAGGTCAGAAAGATGTTTTCCTTTTAGAATTACTGCAATTTTCACTTTCACGTTTACATCTATGATGGTTTGTGCTTAGTTTTATGTATGGTATGAGGTGACAGTTGAGGGTCATTTTTTGACATATCCAGTAGCTCTAACCTATTTAAGAAAGAGTTTTCTTCTTCCTGAATAGTCTTTGTTGCTTTGTTAAAAAAAATCAAAAGAACCTATTGCAGGATTCTTTTTTTTTTTTTTTTTTTGTGGTACTATGGTTTGAACTCAGGGCTTCAAACTTGCTAAGCAGGTGTTCTACTGCTTGAACCATGCCTCCAGCCCTTTTTGCTCTGGTTATTTTTGAGATAGGATCTTGCTTTTGACACAGATGGGTCTGGACTACAATTCTGTTTCATGCCTCCTGCTGTAGCTGGGATGACAGGTAAGTACCACCATGCCCGGCTTTTTTTCTGTTGAGATGGGGTCTCAGGCAAACTTTTTTTTGCCTGAGCTGTCCTGGAACCATGATCCTCCTGATCTCATCCTCCTGTGTAGCTGGGATGATTGGCATGTGCTACAGTAGCCAGCTAGTGGTTGAGATGAGGTCTCTTGAGCTTTTTGCCCAAGCTGGCTTTAAACTGTGATCCTATTACTCTCAGCTTCCCAAGTAGCTAGGATTAAAGGCATGAGTCACTACTACTGGTCTTATTCTAGGATTCGTTATTCTTTTCTATTGATGTTTTGTTGCTCTATATGAAAGTATTACACTGAAATCAGGTGAATCCTCCAATACTTTTTCTACTTTGTCGAATTAATATATATATAATATATGTATAATCCTAAATCTTCTGCATTTCGATATATATTTTAGAATTAATGTGTTGATTTCTGTCAGACCCTGTTGGGATTTTGATTGACATCATTTTGAACCTATAGGACCTTTTGGGGAGAATGACATTTTACTAACATCAAGCTAATCCATGAATGTGGTATACATCTCCAGATAACTTTTCTTCAATTTCTCCCATATATTTTGTAGTTCTTTGTGTAGAAATCTTGCACAATTTTTGTTAAATTTATTACTATTTTACATATTTTGATGTTGTAAATGGAATAGTTTTATAAATATATTTCCCAGGTTTTTTTGATGCTAATGATTAGAGATAGAATTGATTTTTATAAATTGGCCTTGCATCCTTCCACTGGAAGGGAGAAGAATCACATAGATTTTAGATGTCTCCTGTTTTACTCCTCTCTTTCAGGTGATATTGCTATCAAATCCATGATAGTGAGCTTAATTTAGTTTAAAATTCTTGTCCAGTAGCACCAAAAAACAGGGTGATTCCATTTACCTTTGCTTAAATCCTTTCTTTAGAAGAGAAACCTAGTAAAATTGCAGAACATGGAGGAAAATATGGACCATCTCGAGAATCTGAGAACTCAGAGTTGGATAGGATGCTAAATGCTATGTAAAATATTTAAAAGTATAGGATTGTATTTAACAACAATACCTTCCACATATACTTGATCTTATAATTTAGAAAGAACTTTCATAGTCATCTTACTTGATCTTGGCAAAAATTTTGTGAAGAAGTTGTGGTAATCATTTCTGTCTCCACATTAATGACATTGAACCAATGATCAGAGAAGTTAAGTGACTTGTACAAAGTACCACTGCTGAATTAGTATTGACAGGATTTGACATGATGTCTTCTGATGAAGTCACTACTGCATCTGCCCAGTAGCTATCATAAGATCCCAAGTGTCCCCCAAAAGCCAGTTAAGATTATCACCCAACTCTCCTGTGGGGTACCCAGCAACCTTCTACACAGTGGAGGCTGGGTTCATTCTCACAACAAAAACCATTTGTCCTCTTTTCTTGTGGAAATTTCCCAGTAGTTCTTGATTTCACTTTATCCCCCCTTCCCAGTAAATCTCTGTTTCAGTCAGAAACCAGAGGCCTTGCATAGAAATTTCACAAAGGACCTGTTCTGATATGCAAGTGACCATTTAAAAGGATTATTCATGCCTGCTGGTTGGGATTCAGAATTCTGTGAGTCTCTGACATGGTGATTTGTTTTGGGTATTTGATCTGCTGTGTAACTCCCAAGTGGATTCTTAAGATGGACACTTCATAAGCTTCCTTTCTTCCTAGGTAAAATAAATGCAGCTTCAAAATGTTGATCTTGCCAGTGGTTTCCCAAATAGCTTATTTTTTTTTTAAATTAAGGAAATTGTAGGATTGTGCCCATAAATGGCAGGGCCAGAAGAATAACCGTTGACTATCTGAGACACAGTGACTGACTCACTTGCCCAAACTCCTGGGATTCCAGAATGAAGAGGCCTACTTCTTTGAAACTGATGAATTACTCAGACAAACTTTCATTGTCCACAGATAATTGTCCCCTGAGAGAAGACTTTCAGCATCTTTAATTTCTACTCTTACAGTGTCACTAAAACAAGGATTCCATTTACTCCTGAATAATACATTTTCAGCCCTGAAAATGGCATTCTTTGGGGGCTCTGTCATCCTGAATGTGTCTGACTTTGACTGCAGATGAGTTGTGCTGCTGAAAACATTTTGGTTCATATGACTTGAGAAGTAACGCACATGTAAAGTATATTTGTGGCCTGAGGTCCATCTCCACCCCATGTGGAGGTATTAAATAATCCTCCGTGTCATCATCCCTCAATAATATTTATGAAGCGCCCATCTGGACTTGGAGCTATGCCCAATGCTGTGCAAAACAAGGCAAACACACACAGGCATTAGCCCTACTCACTTGGGATATTTATACTCCCAAACAAGGCTCATATCCTGTAGTCATCATAGGAGCCAGCTCTAAGGAGTATGTTTTGTTTATGAAGAAGACCATGGAAGGTCCATGACCATAGCCGTGGCAATGAGGGATTTAGTGCCCTCCTCTCTTTGCTTTTGATACTGCCCCCAGGTTCACCATTTATTCAGTCAAAAAATATTTTAAGTACCTTTTGTGTCCTAGACATAGTCCCCTACCATGGTAGAACTTACAGTCTAACAGGGAAGACAAAGAATCACAAAGAAAATAATAAAGAAGTGCAAGTTGTAAGTAGGCTAAGGGGAAATGAACTTAACAGCAGTCATACTTGGTGGGGATGGAGCATGTTGCTTAGTTAGGGTGCCCAGGGAAAGATGCTCTCAGGAGGTCAGGGGTCATCAGAAACATGCAGCTGGACTGGTTCTGATGCTGGGATTAGAAATGACCCATGTAACACATGTGAAAATACTTATTTCTGAGACTATAGTCTGCTGTTGCCAATCCTCAGTCTAAAATATGTACTGTAGCTTTATCTTGAACATGCTCTGCTGGCTGTTGGAATTTGGA